GGCCATCTTAAGGGGTCCAGGGAGAGCTGTGAATGACTGTCTCCTGCACTGCAGAACTGTATCTTCAGGAGCAGGGCATAAGATAGGCTGGGGTGCACACTGTAACAGTAGGAAGCTTTGATGGGGGTGTTGAGGGACAAATCTAAAAAAGAAGCTAGTGGGTGGGATGGGAGGGGGGTTAGCCACAGGCATTTACCTAACCAAACACAGCTGTCAGGCGTGTGTGTGACTGTGTGTACTTGTGTGTGTGTGCACGCGTGTTTGGAGAGAGGAAGAAAGAGAGAAAGGATTATCGTAACACAAGCAGTCTGGCTCATTCAAACAGAGGAAAACACCACAAGGCTCTGGCTTGTACAACACACACACACACACACCCGCGTGCACGCACACACACAGTCACACAAACCCTCGGTTCCTCTCCTCCTTCTCTTCTCGCCTTTCCACCAGGGCCTCCATCCAGCGAGGGCAGCCAAAAAGAGGGGAGTCGAGCCCAGATAACTCCCCGTCTTATCCTAACAGGATTCAGTCTGTACACAAAGGCCTATAAGAATAATGAAAGGGGGTTTGGGAGCAGTTGAAGGAGGGTTAAGCGGCGTACACAACCTCCTCTCTTATGTGCTAAGAGCGTCACAATCCCCAAGACCCAAAAACAAAGGTACTAATCACAGACTACCAACTTAAATACTATTTACTGGCCGACCTCAGCCACTGAGCCAGCCTTTGAGACAGAAGGCTCTCACTTAAGCTGCGATAGCGTGCAGCGTGTGATTAAATGAAAAGAAAGAAATAAAACTAAAAACAAAACAGGTTTTGATCCTCTTTGTGAAGAGGCACGATGACCCAGAAAACCAGACCATAAGGGTTTTCCTGCACGGAAATTATAAAGGCTTAAATTCTGTCGATACTTTGCCAGAGCAAGCATATGCTGCAAAAAGGAAAAAAAATTTTTCCCCTGCATAAACTGAAATTTTTTTTACAATCCACATAAATCTTAAAAAACAGTTTTTCTACTTGTTTTTTTCTTGATATTTGCACGAAACATCACAACAACCTGTCTATAAACTTCAATATTGTCTCCAAAAAAAATTCCCCATTTCATTTCTTTTCAACAGCAAATTGTAAAAATAATTGCTTCTGTGCAACAAATAAGGTTACATGGGAAAATTATGTGCATATTAGTCAAAAAAATAAAAACTCTCCCCAACAAGACTCTTGGAGCATGTTTTAAAACCACACCACCGTTTTAAATTTACAGTTATAGTCATTTAAACTGAGGGATTTAAATTTATGTTACCAACACAAAAATAAATCGAGGTTGTGCAGGTCACAGCTGAGGTACCACATTTGCCTCACGTTGTGCCAGGAAAAACCCCAAACACAAACTGTTTATTCTGGCTTAGCTTCCTGAAGTGACGGAACATTGTAATGGATTATGCAGAGCTTCATTAATCAGCAGCATACCAAAGATGCATCCCCCCTTCATTTTTTAGAGATTCAAACAAGCTACTGGTGTGTTTGCTCAGAGCTGTGAATGTTTCCTTCCATATTTGCATTAAAATGTTGCTGTCAAAACTGTTAGGAAGAACAGGAGATAAGGTCATCCATGTAATCTCTCCCCCTGATTTAGCATCAGTGTCAGAGTTCTTGGGGAAAAAAAAATACAGTGTTACGTGAAAGGAGCGTGTCTCCTTGTCAGGTGGGGCCAGAGCGTCGAACGAGTCGGTGGATCTGCGAAAGGTGGGGAGAGACTGTAATAGAAAAAGAGGCAGAGAGAGCTGAGAGGTGGGGTGTCTGGGAGTGCACAGATTTGAGTTTAGAGGAGATGAGAGCGCCACTGACTGAGTTAACCCCACAGGCCTGTCACATCCTATTCTCAGCTCCACTGAGCAAGACAGGGCTGAGGACCAAAAAGGGTGCGAGTACAGTCACATGCTTCTGGCAAACTCGCTAAGCTTAATGATTTGGAAGCGAGGACTAGGCTAAATTGTACTAATTTAAGGTTGGGCCAGATGTACTCCATCAAACACAACCATCACCTGATGAATCGGTGAGTCATCTAACCGCAGGAGAGACGGCAAGGATGGCAAGTAAGATTCGAGCCATGGAAATGAGAAAATGAAATATTCGCTTCTCATGCAAACCGAGTTATTGTTGAATAAGAGGTAAAAATTAAACAGCATCATGTAATTCCGCCGCTTGGCAAAGAGACAACCCCTTGAACAAGCAGATTTATCAAAGTAAAAGAGAAACCTTTCCAGGGTAACTTAAACTGCACCGCTAAGAGGAAATGAGGGGAAAACGGATGAAACTGGATAAGACGGCTCTCATTGCACAAGGATTTTTCCTTGTTTGGCTGTCGTCATTTTTGTCTTCCAAAAATATTTATTCCCCAAAGCCAAATTGTCTTCCACGTGACAGAAAAGTGGGGGTGGTGTGTGTGCGTGCAGCACACAAGTGTGCACTCATAGACACCGAGAACACAGAAAACACATTGTTGGCCAGACCCAAAACAACACAGCAGATTGTTTCCCACTGACAAAGAAGGTCTGGTTTCTCATAGTGAATCAGGGCCGATTTACTGCCTGTGGCTTCAAAAGACTGGAAACAGAAGCCTTTCTAAGAGAGAGTGCAGCTCGCTGAGCAGACAGCAGAAATGTTATTCGCATTATTCAACTGTATAAAGCCATAGGAGAGAGAAAGGGAAAAAAAAAAAAGATCCCTATACAACAACACTGCTAGCTGATGACAAAAGGAAATTATTTACGCTAAATATAGCAAAGTTGAATTATAAAATGAGTGAGAGTTTCCTTTATTCAACCTACTGGAGAGGTGTTTAACTACAACCAGGCAAAATAAAGCGTCACTCATGACCTGACAGTGATAAATAGTTGAAAAAAAAGGCCCGGGTTAGATTAAATAACGAGTCATAAAACTCGGCCCACATTCCTCTATATCTTCTGTTAAAGCCTGTCCCCACACAGCAGCTCAAAGCTCTAGCAAAAAATAAAGGAAAAAAAAAAAAATAGGTAGACCAAGGTGTTGTAGTACAGCACGTCTTCTGTTCAATCTCTATAGACGCTATTAATTCTTTATGGTCTGCTGCTGCCCAACCTTGTGCATAGGGCCCTTTCAGTCTCACAGCAAATTTTCTCATCTTTTGAGGTTAGTGATGCTGACGAACAGTCAAAGTACTCAGGATCTGCGAGTCTCTGAGAGGTCTCGCACATTTCTTTGTGCGTTATCTATCCCGGCAGTCTGCGCGCGCCATCTGCTATCCTGCGGCCTTGCGCGAGCAGAGACCCAACGGTTCCTTCTTTTACCCACAGGTCACAAGTTCAGGCTGAGATCAACAATTCATGAGTCCTTGTAAACATGTAAAGTCTCCATGGAGCGGGAAGTGGAAGGAGTTGTGGACAATGTGAGTGCATGATGTGTTTGTGCGTGATGTCTTAAACTATGTGTCCAAGATAAGACTAAGGCCGTGGTGGTGGTGGTGGGAGGGGTGATTCCCTATGCCTCTGAACTGAAATATAACTGAAGTGATGGAATTGTCTGCACACGTGTGATGAAAAAGTAGGGGAGGAAGCCATAGAAAGAAAAAATAAAAAAATAAAAAAGGGATGTTGTGAGAATAGGGGAGAAAGGAAGCGAGGGGGAGGGTTGAGTGACCGCACAAAGCTAATCAGATTTTATAGATTGACCAGACTAAAAAGCTGATCCCGCCTTTTGTCCTCTGAAATGCCTGGAGGTGTCCAGTAACACATGTGGGGGACAGTGAGGCGCGGGCGGGGGGGGGCTAGTGGTGGAGGTCAAAACAAGTTATTGAATGTCTACACGGGCCAAGACCATTGTTGTTCTGTCCCCTCGTGAGACCCTCAATGCCAAACAGAAATTGAAATTGATTGGTCGCCTGTTAATCAGCGGGTGAAAAGGATGCGGATGCAGAGGAATACGCCTTTGACATCAGGATGACCGAATAAAGGTGGGTCAGGATTTTTCTCCTGACCTCGTGTCAAAGATAGACGTTAAACTTTTTTTTTTTTTTTTTTTTTAAAGCATCCTTTTCATTTCAGCAAGATGAACCGTTTGTTTGGTTAGAATGCGTCAAAATCAAGAATGTTCTAATCTTCCCTGTACCGGACAACAAAGCGTCCTGTTGCATTTTCATCAAAACTAAACAGTACATATCCCAAAATCTTCTTTTAAAAAAAAAATTCATAGATAAAGTAAAACTATTTCTTAAAACTGTTTTTTCTTATAGCAACACTGAAATTCACACAGAAAAACAAGTTAAAAAATATTTCGCAGGACGAATTAAGGATCAAGAATACTGGCACTGATACAGTTTAGCAGCCCTGCAGTGACTGCTCCGTTCCAGTCACACACAAATGATGACAATCCAGTGGACATAGACTTATATTAAAATTAAAAGCAACTTGGACCATTTACAGATGCATCCTTGAATAATTTAAAACTGCCCTACATATGGTGTTAAATATGCAGCACTGCCGCCAGCCAAAAATCGCCTTTTTCCCCTCTCAGAGCCCACAGCTCTTAAACCCTTCTCCATTCTAAGCAGAAGAATATTCTTGCTCCAAATAGCCGGCATGCAGCCTTGAAGTAGCCCTGAGTTTAGGGAGGACTTGATAGCCTGTCTCAGATCTAGGCAAGAGGAAGGAAAGGGATTCCCGCCCTGTAATTTAGTGGGGGCTTTGTGGGCCAACACACTGTTGCACTGATATTCTGAATCTCCGGGAGTAATCCAGGAGCCGCGTTTTATCATCTGCTCTGAAACCAGCTGCCGCCACGGATCATCTGACAAAGACCTCTTTGTCAGATGATCCGTGCATCTTTATCCAGATGCAACATTTTCCTCGAAGAGTGTATTTGCCGAGCATGATTTAAAACCAAAACAAAAAACAACAACCCTATCAGCTCTAAGACTGCTTTATACCCTGTAAACACGCAGATTTTAAGAAGTTCAAATGTAGACACAGTACCTGCAATACGAGTGGTTCCGGGTTAAATGCCAGCGTCATGAGCAGCTGCATTCTTTCCGTGTCCTTGAGGTTCTTTAGCAGGAAGCTGCCAGAGTCCTTGGTTTCGGCGTACCTGCGGACCACACGGTCCAGCAGTCTCTGAGAGGGGCAGTGCACCAAGTCTGACCAGCCCTCTACCACATCTGGAGTAAGCAGTCGAACATCGCCGTTGATCCGGGCAAATTCAGTCTTGTACATTGCCTGGATGAGGTCACATCGCGGCCTGCCTGTGGCCCTCTTGCAGATTTTCTGGTCTATCTCGGCCAACTCCTGGTTGGAGCCGAGCCGTTTAAGCACCACGCGACGAGTGCCCTCCCTGGGCTCTCCGTACTGCGCGAAGTAAACATTCTTGACATTGAAAACGTCTAGAAACCGCAGGCGACCCCAGGTCTCAAAGGAAACCTGGCCGTTCATGAACTTGCGGCACCAGCTGGTCCCAAAGCAGGCGGGACACTTGTTGAGATTGATGAATCGTCTGTCCGTGAGCTCATTCTTCTGGAAGGACGCGAACAGGTTGTGGGTGTTCATCAACAAGATGACAAACAATCCCACCACCAACAGGAGCTTTAGACAGCGGTACAGGCGGCCAAGTTTGAGAGGCAGGAAGCGCAGCATGATGTGGATGGGTCAGGAGTGGGGTGTTGAGGGACAGGGGAAGAGGAGGAGGAGGAGAGGTATTGAGATGATCGTCAGGGAGCTAACCTCAATGCCTCTCCGTCATGGTGCAAAGGGGAACCTTCTAAAGCGGCAGACAGGGGCGAGGTTGGCACAGCTGCACTGTGCCAGACTTTGGCAGTGGCCAGTGCGTCATGTTCTCTCTGCAGTTTGTATGTAAACTTGGGCGAGCAGTTCTGAAATCAAACAGACAAAGAGACGGAAAAAAATCATTACATGAGGGAAAATATAAAAGCTACACCTTATAATACCAAAAATCCAGTGCCTTGCCTTAAGTAACAGTGGAAAAAGGTTGATTTAATTTCCTTCTCACCCTAAATGCTTACATGTGATCCCACCTTGTAAAACAAAATGCAGCTTCTCTGGAATATGAAATAGTCGCACAAATTTGAATTGCTTGGGTCATTTGAGAGATTTCATTACTTTTTGAGCAGAAATGAGATGGCCCACAGCCAATGCAATAAACCTGCCTGTGCCTGTTTGAGTGCGTTCTCTTTGGGAAATCATTTCTTGTATACTCAAAGTATACGAAAAATAAATAAAAAGGGAAAATAAAGTGTCAGTGATCAAATTAAGGGGAAATGTAAAACATCGTCCGCAAGTATTAAAATAAAATGTCCTGCATTCAGAGGAAGAGTCCCTCAGTGGGCCCTCCCTCTGCACCAATAAAAATATCCATCACTTTTTCTAAGATGTACTGCAGAATAACTTGCCATCTGAATACCTCAACGGTTACTTCTAAGCTCAGGAATCTTGATTTTGTTTCTCTTGCTTCAGATGGAGGAATCTCGGTTTGCATTGTGATGAGAGTCACACCGTGCAAAGTTTAACCTTTGATCAGAGCTGCCCTGCTTCGTTTTAATCACGCTTTGATGCGGTTTCTTTGAAAATGGCTGCTGTCGCTAAAATAACGTTTCTGGTCGAAAGGGGAAAAAATGAATCTGAATATTTCTACTGAGATTATTAATTTTAGCCAAGAAGGGGGATGGCAAGCCCTATCTGAAGAAGAAAAAAAAATCTGGGATCACAGTGAGAGAACAAAGCACTTAGAAAAACCCCACAAGCCCCACTAAAATCTGTCCACGATGAAACCATGTTAGACCCCCCCACCCCCAATCCAGCTTTTAGGCAGTAAGTATTTTAAGTCGCTTTAAGAAATACAATGACTCAGACCATGCAAATTATCCATCCTCAATTAGAGCTCATTAGGGCATGCCTATTAGGACAGCTGACTTGAGAGGGCATGGCTAACGAGCAGGCACAGTAGTGTGATTAGTTTGTGTGTCGATGGGTTCCCTTGCTTTTAGATAGAAGAGGCGGAGATTCTGGTAGGACATGCGGGTTAAAAGCAACCGAGAAAGCGGCGGCTGTGAGAAACGTGGGCCTGCAGCACGCCAAATAAGAGCCGAATGGAGAAGCTTTTACCCCACACCTCTGTCTGGAAATACTTCGAGCTGATCAGGCCAAGTTGCCTAATGTAAAAATAGACCATATCCAAATAGGGAACTACAGAGTGCCACACTGCATGTTTTTAAAAGCCAAAGAAAAATGTTATTCGAGCATTTTTTCCCCCCCCCATTCTCGCCACACCACGCACAATGTGACTCAACACAGCAATAAGGATATGATTTTTTTTCTGACATAAATAAAGAGTGAGATAATGAGTTACTGAGAAACTTTACACCTGCATTTTCTACATGGGTAAAAACCTTTCAATAAAGCTTAAAATGCAATGATTTTAAGTCCTATGACGGCATTTTTTTTTTTAAAAATTCATCTATTACAACACATTACACTGAAAGTTGGAGATGCACTGATTTATCAGACAATATCGACCACTTTCACTGTGTGTCTTATTCAGCTTTTCATTAACTCGTATTATTGAACCTGGACTCTCGTGAAATAAAAAGCAGGAAAGCAGTCATTGCCTGGCACAAAAGGGATGATGTATAGCTACAGAGACACACAATGACAAAACATCTGTATCTGGAGTGGCCTTTGGCTAAATTGTTATTTTAAACATTAGACTTACCATTGGCCTCAAATTAACAAATGGTGCATCCTTAATGATGGCAATATTTGGCTGGAATCATCTAGAGAGCACTTCGTGAATATATTGCAAGAGCTACTGATTCTCACATTATCTCATCTCAAGATAACTCAGAAGCGGGAAAAAAAAAGAAAAAAAAAAGAAAAAAAAGAGCAGAACAGAAACTGTTTTTTTTCCCTCCAATTTATTTCTAGACAGCATTTGAAATTAGCTCTCTGAATAGGGGGGATAAATACACAAGTAAAGTAGGCCCACACTGGGCTGTCTTAGACAAAAGGATTCAAAAGGATGCATGTCTGTGCCTTTTACTACAGGGAGTGAGAGAAAGCTGATTGCTTGAGGGGAAAACTGAATTTCCCGTCGTTATAAAATCTCGATTCAAGTGCCATTTAGCATCTGACACAGGCAGCCATGACACTGACGTGACTGCAAGATCTTGGGAGCAGATATGAAATTTATCTAGGATGAGCTAAGGGCTCAGAGAGGACGAACCATAACCTCAGCGAGGCCAAGAAGTGTTTCACCTCTTCATCCGTGAGAGAAAGAAACAGAGAGCCGGGGCAAGCTTAAACAAACCCTGAACAAGACCTGGACAGCGCCGAGTAATGAGAAGCACAAGCTGGCAGCCGGCATGAAGAGAATACATAGCTTCGTATTCCTTGCCAGAAAAAGCGTTAGACCACAATTACATAAGGAGCATTACCTGCATTATGTTAGTAATCACACAATGCGAAAGGATCATTTTCTTCCTCTTAATGAAAGACAACTTTAACACTCAAATTATTGTCAATGAAACACACAAATCGGCCATCTATGGGTTTATAGCGTGCCACGATTAGCATGGCACATGAGCGGGTGCAGTTTGAAATGCTACTGGAGTTGAGGTTTTTTTATAACCTGCTGCTGCTGCTACAAGCACAGTAATAGCGGGAATAAGATGAAAACAATCAGCTTTATTGGGAGAATGACATGGCAATTTAAGACGGGGATCTCTTTCCCTGGTAATTACCCCACTAGACTGCTTCCTCGTGAATTTTACACCTGCAAAACCATTTATTTAACTCCCCTCACTGACTATTGCGGTATGATGGGAGTTATTTAAGAGAACGTGGCGAGAGAGAAAGGCAGACTGCATAGGGCTCCATGGCAAGGTTGCCTACTCAGGTTCTTGCTGAGGGCAAAGTTCACTTAAAGTTCTAAATTAAAGCCAGATGTTTTTATTGAAGGGCATTGAAATTTAAAGCAGTGTTTTCTTTGGGGCAAACCTCACTGTGCCCACAGAAACTGTTTCAAATTACCCCCCCCCCTCTTTCCTACCAGACAACCGTCACAGTGCCTCTTCAAAAGATGAGGGATGTAGAATACCAAGAGGAGGGGAAAAAACTCTGTTTAGAATAAGCACCAAATTACTTCTCATGATACAGGGCCGCTGCCAAAAGTGGGCTAAGAAAGTTTTTCAGCGTACTCAGTCTACAAAGTATAGCGGTGAGCGCTTCGAAAGAGAAGCAAAGAAAAGAGGGCAAATCAAAGGATGCCTGACTCCTCATGCATGGAAGATGAGTCCCGCATTCAAAATGTTCCAAGTTTGGCAGATGTTAAGAGCCGCAAAATGGCTCATTACTGGGACTGAAAAGGCACAAGATGAAGCAATAGGCCCCATGTTGGCTTAAAACAGAATGACAAAGGTTGAGACAGAGGAAGATGACATGGTAATATTCTAATATTTCAACTTTTATTAAACTTAGATTTTAAAAGAAAAACTCAGATAAAGAGGAGGGGATTGAAAAGGAAATTTCTTTCTTGAATAATCTTTCCTAAAGCTCATTGTGTAAGAACCAGCTTCAGATAATGGTGTGCAAGGGCAAGGCTACTCTCCAGCTAACCCATTTCGTGACTGCACCTGAGGCTAAACTTCATTATGATATAATGAAGTCAAGCCACACAAGAACATGCTTGATTAATTCCAATGGAAATGCAAAAGAGAGTGCACGGTGGGAAGTGGGGAAAAGGACTGAAATACAGTGGAGAAGTCGGTAAAATAGAGAGAGAGAGAAAAAAGATAACTGATGTATAACTAGCGGCCAGCAAGAAAAGAGAAGCTTTGAGTTATTGCTCTTGTGATTGAAATGACTGGAAATAGATCACTTGAATACAGAGCAGCACTTCTCCATCTCTGAATGGATGCACACAAACACACACGCGAGAGCGGCTACCTGCAGGACCGCTGGCATTACCCCCGAATCCTCAAAGCTGGAGGGGGGGAAAAAAGTAACCTCTGCCCCTCACCACCACCGCTGCCGCCACCACCGCCACCGCACTTGCTTTGCAATGTGTGGTTCTAGCTGGAGAGAGGAACTACTGTTGCCAGGATTATCGACCGTGGGAGTCAATAATGTTTGATCACAAAAACATTCAGCCGCAGCCGGGTTGCCTCAGTACAGCAAACACATAGACAGTGATGGATAGATACAAATGACAGTAACATTCGCACGCCTAATGGAAAATTGAGTCCTCGGATTATAAGTACCAATTAGCAGCATCCCCACAATGAACATTAGTCCATTCATCTCTGGCCCAAACCAAACACGAGAGGGGTTTTAATGAGAATATCAATAGTATCTGCTTTGCGCCAAAATGACGCAGCTGTTAAGAACACACTGCGAAGACCTACTCTGGATTCCCCAACTGAAAACAGCTTCTCCCTTTTCTGTTTAATTTAAACAGCTGCACGGTTGCACAACCCACGATCTCTCTGGAAAAGTTTGGGGAGTTGGCATGAATCTGAATCCCATGTTAATGCTACTGCAAGGCAAACATGTCAGCTGAGTGAAATGATTAAAACAAGCTGTCAAAGCGAGCTGCAGTTTAAACAATCGGGAAATGCATTTGGATGGGGAGGAAATGAAATCGATTACCTTAAAGACATTCGTTCTCCCACCTTTGTCTGTTTCTCCGTCTGCTCTACAAGTTACTTTATCTGAGACTGATTTGGCAAGTCTGGAGGTCAAAAACAAAAATATACTGCTGCTGTGGGAGCTTTTAGGCTGCAATTATGAGACGTTCCCCTGCCGAGCACTCAGAAACATTCAAATCAACCACCAGCAGAACGCCTTAAGTGTATCAGGCTATTTTCATAGTTCCCTCGTCAACTAACCTAGCAGAAAGCCTCCGCAATTAGTCTCCCGATATAGAAAAATTAATTTTAAGCAGCCCGTCCTATTCATTAGACTGTAAAGAGAAATTCCATAGGACTTATTATGAGCTTTGTGTGGAACCAAACACTAAAACTCTTGTGCTAATCTTTTTTTTTTTCCTTTGAAGGAATCAAGGGCAGCAGTTTTCAAAGAAAGTGCAATTATTACTATGCCACAGAAATCTCATGGTCAGATCTATTCATTCGTTTTTTAAATCCTCTCAAAGTTAAGCTTATATTTTAGGTGCTTTTAGGCTTGATGGAGAAAAAGAAACAGGCTCAACCTGTTGTGTTTTTGCCAAAAGGAAGGCGAATCCAAAGCAAACCTGTTGAGATGAAGTGTTTTAAATAGCTTGAAACTACAGTGGGAAATTAAGGGGTGAGAAT